TTTAGTACATACAGTGGATCAAAAGGTATACATATCAAGTGCTGGATGTTTGGTATCGCAGTCCAATATCAACTGCTTCTTGTTAGTGGAGCTCGATGGCTCTGATTATAGTGATATATGAATTTGAATATCATAACCAGTACCTTAATCTTCATACCTTATTGAAATTAACTTTTTGGGGGGTTAGACTGTTTATAGCCTAACTTTCAACTTGCTGAGATATCAGTAGGCGATTTCAAATTTATTTATTTATTTTTTTTTTGCACTTGATTTTACTGTAGCCCTGATGTTTTTCTCCCCTCAAAATGTGTTGATTGTTCTAACCAGTGTAATTCAGTTTATAAAAGGGGGAATAAAACCTGAGAACACAAGGGGATAGGTGTGCAGGGTGATTCGCCACCAGGGAGGCATGTAGCAAAACAAACAAGGACCAGTCATTAGCCACTATAGGTAGTATAATAGTCCCTGATAAAGCATATAAAAAGAAGACCATTACATAGAATCTGATGAGGCAGGTCAGCGGGTAATGTAGCCGTCTTCAGCCCGACCAAAGCGCACCCGTTTGAGGTGGTCTTTGAGGACTCTGTTGCTTTTGGAAGGACACGGAATTTCCCCTTGGGGGGTGGAGGAAGACTGTGCAGAAGAAGGACTTTGATGTCCATGGCTGCTTCAGGGATGTTTTTGAGATAATGCTCCGCTTCTGACGGCGAGGTGCAAGAGAGCCTGTCTCCGTCTGCTGGTTGGATATGGAGTACAGCAGGATATGCCAGAGTGAAGTTAACCTGCTTATGATCGAGTGGAGTAAATCGCAGAAAAGTAGTTCAGGTAGCGTACAATCACCAGCCTAGGTTTAGGGCGAGAATTGGGCTGTAGGTCAATACGGTGGGCTCTTTCAGCCGCACAAGGATACCACAGGCCTAGTTGCTCTGGAATGGACGTAGCACATACGTTGATCCGCATGGAGGGAGAATACGTCTTGGGCAGGCCTATGATGCGCAGATTGTTCCACCGTGAGCATTTTTCAAGATTGTCTACCTTATCTTGAATATCTCTTTGGACCGTAGTGAGTCTGGCTACTGAAGCAGAAACAGCCAATGAGTTGTCTTCAATGGAGGAGACCCTATCTTTCATCTGGGTAACGCTCTGAGCCTGGACATGGAGATCTTTAGGAAGTTGCTCTAGCCTTTTAACCTCCCTGGTGGTAATCCCCGAGTGTGGCTCGGGGTTAATTTTTAGTACCAAAAGCGGTGACCCCGAGCCACACTCCGGATTACACTGTACTGTGTGTGGTGTAACTTGCCTTGTCCCTGCGATCCCCCGATGTCCTCCCACTGTGTCCTCCCGGCAATGTCGGCATCAGTCTTCTGGGTTTCCTTCCCTGCGAGTGCCATGACCCAGGGGGGCGGAACCAGCGGGAGGTTAAAAAAAGTAAAAAAATTGACACACACACGATCTATTAAGATTACATTATTGTATCAAACCATTTCAGCTCAGTTTTTTGTCCCTAGTGCTTTGTCCAGTGCCCTGCCTGCACTTTTACTGTTCTTTCTGAGAAACTTGAACGTCCATGGCATCCAAAAACCATCCCTTTTAGGTCAAAAGCGGTTTTAGACCAGTTAGAAAACCGCGATAGTGAATTAAAATCACTTGCAGAATTGAGCGATAGTGAGCTGTGTGGAAATTCGTTATCAGACCCTAAAATTTCCATGCAAAACAATTTACCGCTTTGACATTCAAAAATATTCACATAATCAGACTGCCAGGGAGGTTAAGAACAGCACTATCGACTGCTACCATGAGAGTAGATGTTAAGAGAGCCATGACTGCATGGGCAATGCCTGCTGGTGTGGCAGGGTCCGGAGGCTGGGAAGCAGGGAGCTGTGCCTGCAGTGTATCTGGCTGATCCCCTGTGTCAGCATGTGTGCTGGGAGCGGCTGCCATCTTGGCTGCAGTGACCGCTGTGTCCCCCTGTGAGAGGCAGGGGGACAGAAGAGGAGCGGGCATGGGACCGCTCTATGAAGCGGTCCATAGGGTCACCCTAAGTCGCAGGTAGGAATGGGGGGGTGGGGTCAGCCCCCGAGCCGTAGCAGGCTTTTAATGCAGCAGTAGAGCAGGGCAGCGGGAGCAGGGACAGCTCACCTCCTCTCCATGCGGCTCCGGAACTAGAAGTATATCATGGTCATCTTGAAAGATGCAGACTTTTTCCTGTACTACTGCTTGAAGAAAATGTCTTCTAAAACTAGCAGTAGGTTTGGTAGTTGATTTTGAGTTCATGTTCAACCCGAAAAAGGTGCAGATAGTTCATTTTTAATAATACCAGCCCATACCAGTACGCCACACTAACTTGCTGACGTCTGAGTTGAAGTGGAGCTCTGTGCCAGTTTCTGATCCAGCCACAAGCCCATCCATCTGGTCCATCAAGAGTCACTCTCATCAGTCCATAAAACCATTGAAAAATATTTCTTGGCCCAGCCTTGACATTTCAACTAATGTCTTGTTCAGTAGTGGTCGGGTTTCAGCCTTCTTTACCTTGGCCATGTCTCTGAACACCTTGTACTTCTGGGCACTCCAGGTAGGTTGCAGTTCTGGAATATGAGAGCACTAGAGGATAATGGGTTCCTAGAAGCTTCATGTTTGATTCTTCTCAAATCTTTGGCAGCTTGCCTCCTTCTTCTTCTTTTTTTTTTTTTTTTTTTTTTTTTCTCAACACGTTTTTTGCGACCCTGTTGACTATTTTCAACAAAACATTTGGTTCTGTGATCTCGCCCCAATACCTTTTGCTGTTTTGAGGTTTTGCTATTTACAGGTTTTGACTTTTCAGAGTCAGTTAAATCTATTTTTTTGGCCTATTTTGCCTGAGATAAAGAAGCTGCCTAATAATTTAGCACACCTTAATAAAGGGTGTTGATCTCCTTAGGCCACCCCCTCCCTCATGACACAGATGCACATCACCTGATATTCTTAAATCCAATAAGCATTCAAGTTTATATAGCTTTGGAGTCGGACAATATGCCATAAATGGTGATTTGGTAAAAATACTCATTTGCCTAATTGTGCACACAGTGTATAAGTAGAGAGATGTTTCATGCTGCAAAAAGTAACTAGTTTTTCCTTTTAAAGAGCATATATAGTGTTGTCACTGCACTCGTGCGCACACCGTAGTTCACAGATCGGTGATATTGTGAAGTTGCAGTAAACCATTACATTTACTGGTATCCATTGGCTGAAACTATCTATCTGGAAACTGCTTCTTGCTTGTGAAATAAAGTGTATGTGTACAGTTTGTCCATACCTCTAGCTTCCATTATTTGGTTTACTTTAGCCAGCCACTCTATTGTGAGTGTCCTGTGTGGTTTTGACATAATCAAGATCAGGCTATTGGCAACATTTAGCAGTTGTGGCAATACTGACCTTTTTATTCATTTCTATAGAACTGAGAGATGTTAAACTGCACAATTGAAGGGATTGTCTGCCTTTTAGGCGATCTTTGAAAACTCACTTATTCAGGGAAGCCTACCCCACCTCCACCTAAGAACTGTACTTGAATCACCTCCACCAGATCATCCCTCGCAGCTATCACCTTTTGTATCACCTCCCCCCTTCCTTTAGATTGTAAGCTCCAAGGAGCAGGGCCCTCCTATTCCTTCTGTACTGAAATGTATTGTAATTGTACTGTCTCCCTTATATTGTAAAGCGCTGAGCAAACTGTTGGCGCTATATAAATCCTGTATAATAATAATCTGTTGAAGTGTCACTATTTAAATTAAAGCCCGCACCCCAAAAGGGTTGAAGTATCACACAATCCCACTTTAGGTAAAAATGTACCTTTTGTGGCCACGTTTCTCCTGACAATTTGCAGAAAGGTTGGGACAGGGGCGGACTGACAACTCATGGGGCCCCCGGGAAATAGCGGATCATGGGGCCCCTGTGGCCTTGCCCAAACTCAAAAAAGCCTATGAAAAAAGGTACCAGGGACATCTCATGGGGCCCCCTACTGACCCCGGGCAGTGCCTCAGTTTCCAAACGGTCAGTCCGCCCCTGGGTTGGGATACATCTTTGAGCGTTTCTTTGGAACTCTATACCTCCTCGAGAGCAGTTTGTAACAAGTCTCCTGTGTTTTACTAGACTGCAGTGAAGTCAGGAGGTTGTGCCAGTTTGGCAGGCTGGCTGTTTTTGATTGCATTACTATTGAACCACTGACCAGGAACAAGTATGTAAAGCAGGAGGGTTAGAGTGCCATCAGAACTCCTTATCTGCACACTTATCTTGGTTAGTAATTTGAAGTATTGAATAAAGATTAGCATGACAGTCAGGCAGATGGTGCTTGTAGGATGCAAAGTCACCAGTGGGATTATTCCTAACACTTAACCTCCTTGGAATCTCTTGCTTAATAGACTTTTCCATTTAACATGAACAATCTTTACCATGAACACATCACACCCATGGTGAGACCCTTGTACTACTGTCTGTTTTACTGTGTTTTTCGTTATGTTATGTTTTTTTGTTTTTTTTTTTTTTCAAATCAATCATTCCTGCAATAGTGCTCAGTCATGTGTGGGTTTTTTTTTTTTTTTTTTTATATCTGAGTTAATGGGCCGAAATACTTTTTTTTTTTTTTTTTTTCTCTGTAGTGGGTACTTTTCCTGGAATTGTGAGTTCCGGTCTAGAGTTTAAAATATGGCTAAGGAAGAGGGTATCCCAGTGAGTTACATTATATTCCCTGGGATTAGGGTTGCAATATCCCAACATAATTTCATTCTACCTGATTGTCACAGGGTATGGCATTAATGTATTCTCTGTATTAAACCATGAGAAGCTTTGAAATAATGGAATGGCATATCTACTATTGAAAATAGCAATTTATGAATCAAAATTTAAAGCAATTGTTCCTGTGTTGATATCTGTGGAGTTTATGCGCTGGAAAATTGGGTTGCTCTATTAATAGTGCAGTGTGGTTTTGACAAATATTCCTGACGTGGCTCTCTCCCTTCTCTGTAAAGGTTATGCGTTCTTGCTCTTTCAAGAGGAAACGTCCGTGTACAAGCTCTGATTGATGCCTGCTTAGAGGAGGATGGCAAGCTTTACCTGTGTGTATCCAGCCCCACCATCAAAGACAAACCTGTAAGAATCATTTTGATCTAACTTGTTACAAAGAAAAAATACCTTAGCATGAGAACTTCTAAATGTCCAAGGTCATATTTATCATAAATAAATAATGGGTCCTTCTATTATTTATTTTTTTTTTTTTTTTACTTTTTATATGGCTACCTGTTTATCTATACATATGTCAGAAATTTTGAAGGTGGAGTTTAATTTAACCGCTTGCCATCTGGGCTAATTCTGACATTTCTCACATAAAAATCTGCATTTGTTTTGGCAGAAAATTACTTATAACCCCCCAAACGATGTATATTTTAACGAAAACTCCCTGGAGAATAAGATGGTGGGTGTTTATCAAACTCAAATTTTCAGGAAATAAATATACTTTTTAATGAATTTTTAGTACATATAAAAACAAAATGTAATACCCAGTTTTTTTTGTAAAATCTAAAAGTTGTTACACAGAGTAAATAGATACCTAACTTGTCACGCTTTAAAATTGTGCACGCCTGTGGAATGGCGACAAACTATGGTACATTAAATTATCCAAAGCTTTAAAGCCTTTTACAGGTTTAGGCTTTATCAGTTTAGAGTTTCACAGGAGGTTTGGCACTAGAGTTATTGCCCTCACTCTGGCATTTGCAGCGATGCCTCACATGTATGGTGCGATCACGGTCAAAGTCAAAAGTGCACCAGTGCTCAAATCTTCGTGCTCCTCAGAGTCTCACAGTAACTATCACTGGTTGAGGTGGAGCCCTCTGAAGAAGGGGAAAAACACAACAGGGCGCACTCTCCTAGTGCATTACCATGGTATCAAATGCTTTTATTATAATAAAAAAAAGTGACCAGTGCATACTCACAAAAGGACCAAGAAAACAGACATGTAGCCAAGTGAATCAGTCCTAGGTAGCGGAGGTCATGTAGAACAGGTTACCAGTAGTAATAGTTGATGCATTTTGGGAAGCGCACTCCCTTCCTCAGAGCTCTCCAGTATGATCACCATTTACATATGTGTGCGGGACCTTTGTGCATGTTGTCTGGTTTTGTTTTTTTTTGCTTGCTTGAACTTTGTTGCTAAGAACAACATACCTTGTTATAGTAGGTCCTCTATAAGACCCTAGATCTCTCCTCTGCCATCCAAAACAGACAATCAAACTGAGATCTGTTTGAGTGACTGCTTTACAAGCTGGTGACGGCTTGTAAGCAAACAAACTGAATATGGAAGTGACTAAATACTCATCACTTCTGGTTTCTGATTTCACAAAGTGAGAGCAACAATGGAAGTTCCTCCTGCTCTTCCTAGTGCATCTGATGTGACAGGTCAGTGCGGTGGCAGTGGGAGGAGAGGGACCCCCTTCCACCACCTGTAAAAGTGATCTGGTGGCTGTATAGCTGCTTGGATCACTTTTACTTTGAAGAGAATCACCAGCCGGAAAGAATTATACCATGATCATAGCTTCAGCCATGATCCCTGATATCTCTGCTTCCATCAGAGGATGTGTATAAAGATTTTCTGTTCTCAAGTAACCTAAAGTCTTCTGTGTCTGTACAGATTTTGATTGGTAAACAGAACAAATAGCTGTGCATATAAACCAGACAATATGTTGACAATCTTGCTCTGCTCCAGAATAACCAAGTGCTCCATGAAACCAGCCACTGGTGCTAGAAGGTCCACCAGGATCTGTCTTGCTCATTAAATGACATCTGTAATCCCAAGGGTCTGCACCACCACTAATTTATTCAGTGAGTCAGACACTGGCTGCTCCTGCTGTGCCCTAACATAAAGCTGAGTTTAGTGGCCTCTGAGTATGCCCTGTGTTAAGGTGAAATGTATCAGAGAGGAGGCAGGGTTCAAAAAAATCTTGTTGAATTAGTACGTTGAGGTGGTGCGGCCTTTTTCTTTGCATTAAAGATAGTTGAAAACTCTGCTTTTCATTTTTACAGTGGTATTAATGGTTGAAGATGAGAGAGAAGAGGACTGTACAAAGGAACATCATCATTGTGGTGTGCCTATGGCGGCAAGATCATTCAGGCCTCATGCACACTGGACGTTTGGCCATCTCTCCTAGACGCCTTTCCACTTGGCAGCAGCGTTTTGGCAGAAAAAAAGTGCTTGGAAACTCATTTAGGTGTGTCAAGCGCTTGGTGTTAATTAATTTCATTGGCCATTGAAATTAATTAATTCAAGAGCTAAACACACCTAGCATTAACACATGTTTAGACTCATTTACATGTGTTTAGCACATCAAGCATTTTCGTGCCAAAATGTTGCTGCTTTTGGATGCGCTGGCAGTGTTTTTTGTTTTTTTTTCTGCCTCTAAAGGCCTATGTGCACATGGATGCATAGACTAACACGCAGGGGTGTTTTAGTGGCAGAACAAATTGCTAGGTTCCTCTAACAGCAGTGGTAAAAACATCTGGTGTGCATGAAGTCTAAGGGCTCGTTCACACCATGGCGCAGAGAAATCAGTTTTTCTGCACAGTCTTCAAGGGCACATTGAAAACAATTGAGCGAAAACAAATTTCAATGTGTCCTGTTCACACCACAACACTGGTATCGTGCAGATTTTTCTTTGCAGGGATCTGCAACATGTATAAAACTCATTGAGGCACATATGTAACTCGTGTAAACTGATGTCTCTGCAAGTGAAAACTGCGTGTCAGTTTCCATCAGTTTTTCTGCACGTATGGTGTGAACGAGGCCTATATGTGAAGCTACCTATACATATGAAACAGCGGCTGGTCTTTAGTGTAAACTGTTAAGTGAATAAAATGATTGTTACACATATTTGTATACATTGAGAACCGTTAAGAAAAACAATTTCTCAAGCCCTACATCTAGCAGTGTCACAGCAAGATTACCGGTTGTAGATATTTATCCCATATGTATGCTTGTTAATATTGTAACCACTGCATTGATGATATATACCTGATGTGTATCCATATTATCAAACAGCAATGTGACCCCCTCCCCCCCAAAAAAATGATCCACCTTTACAAAAGCCATTTACTATCAAATGATCATGCAGCAAGGTAAAATCAAGCTTCACACACACACACCTTCTTTTTTTTTTTTTTTTTTTTTTTTCTGATATGCATTGACAGGTGCCACAGTTTGCCTAATACAACATAGAGGCAGGTGTTGGTACTTGCAATTTCACTTCTATTTGAGCGAATATCTGTCATTGCAGGTTCAGATCCGACCTTGGAATCTGAGTGATAGTGACTTTGTGATGGATGGGTCTCAACCTTTAGATCCGAGAAAAACTATATTGTTGGGGGTGTCCCACGACCCTTACGAGCTGGTAAGTACCATGTATCTCTTGGCTCTAATGATGTGTCTAATGTAGTTGGGGCTTAGATTCCATCAAATATTTTCAGGAGTAGAGTATCTTGAAACAGAACAAAGTACTCCTATCCTCCAAGGACAGTGTGATCTTAGCCTCTATTCAGAACTGCAGTTGCCATGATACTTTTCATGTGATTAGTGATGACATCAACCACTTGGGAGATCTGTTGAAAGCTGAAGTAAGCACTGGAAACTGTGACACTTGTCACCAGAACCTTGTCTTGAATGTCGCAAACTGCACCTGCAGTAGTAGGCAAATTGTAAACGAAAACACTGCTGAAAACAACATTGGTATGTTTTGATCTAAAAACATTTAAATATTTCTTAAGACCCCTTTCAAACAGGCAGACCGATTGGGTCTGCCTGTCCGTTCTCAAGCAGACCCAGTCGGTCCACCAATGCCCTCCTATGGAGCGTCCGATGTAAACAGACGTGTCCATTTACACCCACCTGCATCCAATTCACTAAAAACAGACCGTTCCCCTTCTGTCCAGCGGATCAGATGACAGGCGATCCATTTACAGATGACCGATCCATAGAAAGTGGTTGTGTCTGCTCTGCATAAGCAAACCAGGCTGTCATTGGCCTGGACAGATACCCACTGAGCAGGCAGATCCACTGGCGGTGTCCACCAGTGTGAAATGGGCCTAACGTTAACCTTTTTCTTTAGTAAACCGTTAAGTCATTGAGTCTTATTCTGCTTTTGGCATTCTGGAGACTGTGGGAGGTAGAAAAAAAAAACTTTTTTTTTTTTTTATATCATGGGTGACTGTACTTCGGCCAGTTTATTGTAGATGGTGGCTTCTTTTCTTTCTTTTTTGTCTTTCATTGAATTACATAGAACCATCACACATGGATCAATAAAGAGATTGTTAAATCTCCGTTTCTAGAAATTGAGCAACATTTGCAAAACAGATATTGGACTTTAGAATGTGAGGAGTTTTCTGCTAGATATTTTGGTGTATTGTATACAGGACTCATCTAGAAAGTTTATCTAGGAAGGAGCAACCAATCAGCAACTAAGATATATTTCTTTTGATCACCATCTGTTTTGTTAAGCTGTCTTTCTGTTTTGACAATTGAGTATTTTTTTTTTTTCTTCCCCTCTATCTTATTTTAAGACACTGTGGGGCTGAGTTACTAAAGCTAGATGCAAAATCTGGTGCAGCTCTGCGTAGAATCCAGTTTCTGTTGTGGTTTTTTTTGTTTATTTTTTTTTTGTCAATGCTTAATTGAACAAGCTAAAGTTAGAAGCTGATTAGCTACATTTTGCATGCTCCAGTTTTAGTAAATCAACCCCTTGTGTGTAAGACGTTGCTGCTATAAAAGTGACAGTAACCAAACAAAAAAGTAAATTAAAAGTGTATGAATGGAAGTAAAAGCTGGGAAAAAGAAATGGTTAAAGAGGAAAATTGAGTTTAATTTAGGGGTTAAATTATGGATAACTTTAAAACATGCAATTTGAAAGTTTTGGAAGTCTCTCTAAGTTGTGTATTATTGTCTTTCTGCTGTAATTTTAGTTGAGCTGGCAATGATCATGGATCGTCTCTATGGGGGTGTCTGCTATGCTGGCATCGATACAGATCCGGAGTTGAAATATCCAAAAGGAGCTGGTCGGGTGGCGTTTTCTAACCAACAGAGCTATATTGCCGCAATCAGTGCTCGTTTTGTTCAGCTACAGCACAATGACATTGACAAACGGGTAAGATGCTAAGCAGCACAGAGCTACATCTTAGAGGAGAGAGCCCTACATGTTCAGCACCCTCTAGCCAGCCAACTCTCAGAAGAGCTGTAATGTCACCTGGCTGGTAACTAGTAATCTAAGACTCGATTTCTTACAGAATGGTAGCGTCCCTTATCTGTATTTATAATTTTGGTGCGGGATGAAGTCATATTGGTGGTGTTGTGCAATCCCCTTGTCCATTATTTCCAAAAAGAGAGCTACCAGCTGTCCCTTTAATGTAACACATTTTCTTGTTAGTATCTTTTCTTTGTAGGTTTATTGGTCCTTTGAGGCAGGATGTGGGTAACGTACAACTAAATGCTCCTGTCGAACAGTCTAAACAAGTACCAAATCCAGTTAATATGTGGTGTAGAAACATCCAAAAAGTAAACAAACTTCTTTTACTTCTCCCAACTGAAACAAATCTTTAGCCTACATGGCAATGGCAACTCTGCTGTAAATTAGGTGCAGTATCGTTGTCACACCATCATAAGAAGCTGCATTAGATGGACATTACTGGCAGGCTCAGCAGCTATTTGGGGGACTTGCAGGGGGTCTAAGAGAAAATTATAAGTGTAATGGTAGGCCATAGTTCTACTTTAACCCCTTCCCACCACTGCCTCCTGGCCCCTTAAGAACTTTTAAATGCTGGGAGGTGGGCATTTGTGTCAATGACTTCTGTGATTGGTTGTCATGGTCACGTGATGAGAGAGGTCATGATCGCTAGTATGCATCAGGAGCTTTTCGGTCCCTAGTGGTGTCTGTGTTGTGAACGCACAGGGCACTCGCTCTCAGCACAGAGAGTTGTTTATTTTGGGGCTCAGACATAACTCTCAGCTCTAAAGCCCACCTGCCAAGAGGCTGCTTATATGCGCCACGTCGGCGGGAAGAGGTTAATTGTATCACTCAATATGCAGTACTTTTTACATTCCCCAATATACTGATTAAATGTTTTTGCATGTTTCATTGCATTATGGGCACACACTAATTTAGAGGTTTTGATGTGTGCCTAGGTTTCCATAAGTGTGTTCTGTGCAAAGGAAATCCTGTAAAGAGAAAGAAGCTATTGTTGTCCGGCTTTTATGCTGATCCGCAAGTTCAATATTTTATAGTCACTGATCCAGAATAAATAAAGTATTGTCTCCAGGCTACCCAGTGATAATGCAACGATTAACACAAAAAGAGGGGGGGGGGGGGGGAGCAAACTGATTGCAGCCAGAACTGACATGCCTTGAAAAAGTGCAGCGTAATCACAATATAATTTAAAAAAAAAAAAAAAGCACTACTTGCATGCATTAATTGTACAAATCAAACTTCAATGCAATATGACCTAACCATTTAGAGTCCCCCGTCAGAACACTCTGGTCAGCGCTCTCAGACATTGGCTGAGAGTGCTCATCGGGAGCTGATTGGCACACCTTTTTCAGTCATGCCCCTTCGACAGAAGCCGGCGGAACCAGCTGCTGTACACACAAGCGGGAAGTCAGCTGGTTTCTATTGAACCATGGATGCTACATTCAGCCTGTGTGTACTTGGCTTTAATACTTATTTTGTTGGAAGATCTTTGTGAGATTGGGCACAGATCATTTCCCTTTTTTTTTATGAAAACAGAACATACTGTTCATGTTTAGTAATTTTCTACTTGCAAGTAGACCTTAATATGGATACCAAAGTTCATTCATGGGTTTTCCACAATACTTCAATGCATTGCAGCTTACAATTGGGAAAACAATAGTAAAAGAAATTCAAATGCACTAGCATAATTTATTATTGGATGTTATTTTAAATAGGTCTTGCAAAAATGCATTTCATTCATTTACTTTTTATATCTGCCTCACAGAAGTACTCCCATAGCAAACCTTAAAAGCAAACCTTAAAATGATCAATGAGACATGAATTCATAAATATGTTAGCAGGGTTACATGTTTTAAGGGCATGTCCACTTGGTCTGTCCTGCATGTGCATGCTCTTATTTTTCAGTGTAATTCTTTTTTCTGTGGATCCTAGGTCCTGGTATTCTATAGGGTATTCTTTTTCTGCCCAAGACCAGATTAAACCCGCAGCCCTGCATTAAGACCACCCCACCTCTGTGATTCAACTGTCAAATGCTGAAGACTCTACTGCCCACTAAAAGCAAAGCTAAAGAGATCCCTACTTTCTTTTTCCTTCCTGGCATCTTCTATGTGCCAGTCTTCAGCCATCTTCATTGGCCAGCACAAGAGCCACTTATCCTGGCACACAGGGTAGTCCTGGCACTGTAAGCTGAACTGCGTGTATGCATCTCAGTTTGCATGCTGGTGATCGCTGTGGGTAAGCAGGTAGGTGCATATTTATTGCCGAAGAGACATTGCGTGTTTCTTCTCCGATAATACCCCACCTGCTCAGTCTGCCATAAGCAAGACTTCAGTTCTTCTTTAAGTTGTGACAATTGAATGACTGGATCTAATCTGAACTTGGATAGAGTGAAGACCCTGTGCACAGCCTGGTTCTAGGATGCTTGGCATCACTAGGATTTATTTGCAAACAAACAGCCATACCTGTGGTCACCACAAAGTGCCTGCACTTTGGCGCTAAGGGTTTCTTGCAAACCTTTTAGGCCAGGTCATGTTCACTTTACAGGCATAGTTTACCAATACCAAAAGTCTGTCTATGCAGGTATGGGGTGCCTGTTCATTAAAATGATGCAGCTTTGAGCAAGGTTGAATATTGCCCTTGTTATAGATGTAGGCCATTTACAGGAACGATCTTTCTCTGTTTTTAAACCCTCGTCATGTGCACTTTCTTTCCCCTGATGCAGAAGCTTTGAGTTTGAGAACTCACTCCTTTTGGAACTTTGGTCCAAATTACACAGTTTTTTTTAATCTACGTAGCCCTTGCATAGGCAGTTTTTTTTTTTTGTTTTTTTTGGCGAAGGTGAATTATGCTTTTTAAAGTGAAAACAATATTCACTTCAAGCTGGGCGCACTCCGAGCTTAGTAAAGCAAAACAACTTATTTTGATCATACAGTACAGGACACAGGCAGAATATTCATTTATATTGGGTGATAAGCATGTACCTTCAGGTGATTGGACACTGGCAAAGCTTTAGAGGACACACCCCCTGGGTACCTCCCCTATAACCTTACCCCATTCAATGAGTTTTGTGCTGGTGCCTGAAGCTGTGATGGCCCTTTTCACATTTCACAGAGAAAAATCCCCTTGAATGTAACGAGTTTTTTTTTTTTTTTTATTATTTTACCATCCATTTCAGTGTCAAATCTTCACTGTCTTCTAATGCCAGCATGTAAGCAGTGTATCCAGAGCGGTACAACCTCAGTGAAACCTTTCTTCGGGCACTGGATCCTGCAAGGGAATTTGGCATGGCACTTGATGCAGTACTTGGAGTTAGCAGCAGGGTGCTATACAGGTCAAGAGCCTTGATCCATGCTATGAAATCCAATTCCTGAGGACCCAGTCAAGGGTGTGACCACCAAAGGGCAAAGCCTGGACTTTATGTGCAGTCCAGCATTGTGTCACCCTGTATTCCTGACCTTTGCTTTAAACTGGGCTATGTTTGGAATGTATTCACTTTTAAGACCACTCAAAACTCAGGTGGATGACAAGGTTTTACATCACACCTCTGGTCGCACACTTTTGCCTAGAGCCCTTAGGTGCATCTTCCCGCCCTTATGGAGTGTGAATTCTTAGGAGGACAAGCTACACCTCGGTTATTACATAATCCTTATAGACACGCTTGGTTCTTTCTTGTAAAGAGTATTTTCTTGTGTTGGACAAGGTGGTTTTAGAGACCAGAATCTTTTTTTTTTTTTTTTTTTTTTTTTTTTTTTTTTTTATTTTACCAAAGGCTGTCTTCTCTTTCCACCTCAATGAGAGTGTTATCCTTCTTTCTCTCTGTCCTGCCCCAAAAAATGACAAGGAAATTGCCATTCAATGCCTAGGTGTGGTCAGGGCCCTCAGAGTCTACCTGAAAGCTGCAACCACTCTTCACAAGAGTCTGTATTTGTCCTGTCTGTGGAACCTTGTAAAGAACACCCTGCTTCACCATTGCCTGGTTTCTCAAACCACTAATTTTCAGGCCCTGTACCCGAAGGCAAGCTGCCTTAACTTGTTACTGAGTATTTTGTTTGGGTATGATTAAGGTAATAGGAATTTTGACTTGTAAATTTCTTACCTGTAGCTTCACACAGTGGGTGGCGGTTTTAGGAGTATTCTTTGGGGACATCCCTAGCAAAAGATTTTGCCAGTGTCCAATCACCCGAAGGTAGCATTCTAATACCCATGGATACCAGTCCTGTACTTCAAGATAAGGAATTTTACAGGTAAGTAAAAATTCTCTTTTTTTTTTTTTTTTTTTCCCCGTTTATAAACACTCCTCAAACATCTTCATGACAGTGCATGGGTCTATAGTAGCTTAAAGGAGATTTCCACCATTTGCAAAAAATACCTTTTATCCATATTTCAAAAAATGTGCATTTATTTTGCATTGGAGACTGCAGTGGTGCATTGCTCGGGCTTCTGGAGACTCTTCAGCTCTGCTCCTTTGTACAAACCTTCACTTACAGAGCTGGAGGAAATTTCAATGCACTACAAGTGCCATGATGTCACTACTCCATTGAGAACTACAGTCCGTCTCTAGTGGCAGATGGGACTTGTGGGTTTTTCATTCACAGTATCAAATATAATGGGAGCTGTGGGGAACAGTACCTTTTGGATACTGTAAGTATGGGTGTAACTTTTTTTTTTTTTTTTTTTTTGCCGGTTTGCAGAAAATGACACAAATGTAAATGTCACTCTGTTCTAGGTCTATGTGATTTCTAGTGGTTTTTTTTTTTTTTTTTTTTGATGATGAAAAACAAAAAGTTGTGAAATTTTTTGCCTTTTTTTTTTTTTTTTTTTTTTACCTAGGTGGAAGTGAAGCCATATGTGCTAGATGATCAGATGTGTGACGAATGCCAAGGCACGCGCTGTGGTGGGAAATTTGCCCCCTTTTTCTGTGCCAATGTGACCTGCCTGCAGTATTATTGTGAATACTGCTGGGCTAGCATCCATTCCCGTGCTGGCAGGGAGTTCCACAAACCACTGGTGAAAGAAGGAGGTGATCGACCTCGCCATGTCCCTTTCCGTTGGAGCTGAACACTGCACCCATCACTCACCAAAGGTCTGGGAGATGTGCATCATCTAGGCTCCTCAAGATCTACAGAAGAATTTGGTCTTTATGTTCTTTTGTATTATAAATATTAGTTACAGCCACCTTACTGAGTGTAACTGTCCTGAATTTTGCACTTTGATTTCTACCTATATATAATTGAAAACATCTGCTTGATACCTTAACTTTACGTCACAGGAGTGTTGTAAGTAGAGACATCTCATTAGGCTGGTGCAAGTTCCTCTCTCTGCCATGTTGTTGTGGGTGTGGTGAAGAAATTCTCAACTGGAGCATGCACTTAAATATCTGGTTCACAATGTATCTTACTCTCACCCCATAGAAGATGACTTACCAAAGGCCTCATAAGTGGATAATGTAGCAAAAACCTTAGCAATCCATCAGTCTTATCTCATTCATGCAGTGAAGTATAGTGAATGTCATCACTGCTTTATAAACCTACAACATCTCCAGCTTGTATGGGTATTTAAGAACCATGTATTTTGTAACCTAAGTTAAAAAAAAAAAAAAAAAAAGTATATCTTATAAAGTGAATCAGATTTTTTATATGTATATATTTTTATTTTTTATCTTATTTTGCTGTGTTTTATTTTTTATTTTATTTTTTTATTATTGAGCAGGTTATGTTTGACAGATGTAGACCTTTTTAGTGTTATGTACATGTATGCTGCAATAGCTTTTGCTGCTATTTAAACAAAAATGGTGTTTGGTAATTCCAGAATACTCTATTCAGGCTAGGGTTTCTGTGACTTAAAAATACAAAATGAAGTTAAAAAAGAGCTGCTGGTAAATTGAGTTAGAAACTTCCGAGGAAGGTCGTCCTTAATTTTTTTTTTTTCTTTTCCTACTGCATGTTTGATAATCTGATAGTTGCATGCAATAATAAACCACATCATATTCAACTTGACCACAATGCACAAATAAAATGTCTATATAGACTAACAATGCTAAATAATAATATAAAATATGACTGGAGGAAGGCATGTCTGATTATCTGTAATGCATCTAAAAGAATACGGTTAGTTCATTACAGATTTTTTTTTTTTTTTTTTACAACCAGTAAGTAAAATAAATGTAGGAAATAATTAAGTAAACGAAAAAAGTATAGTAGAAAAAAAAAATAATTAAAGATGCGGTGCTCTGTTATATTGTGCAATTTATTTTATGTAGTAAAGTGATTATGTCCTGTACTGTGATCAGATGTAACTTAAGGCCTCTGTGTTTATCTGACAGCTTGTTAGTTGATAGTTAAACAAAAACATGAGCTCTTTGTTAGTTACAATTCCCTATTTTTGTGTTTTTTGTTTTTATTTTTTTATTATATTTTCTGTAGAGTATTTTTGTAGTTATTTTAGCCCAAGCTCGGCACACTAATTATTCCGTAATCTATTGTTCTCAGACACTACCAAAATGATTGAATATATTATCTGTTGGACATGCAAGGCACAAAAATGCTAAATTAATGTCTGCCTTGAAAATGTATCAGGGTAAGGTTTAGTTTTTAAGACAAACTAAACTTTTATCCTATGTTTATCCTGTGAAGCTTGAAGATTTAGTCCTGCTAACAGTGGGCATTTTTTAGCACAAGGCTGTTTGCAGATAATATTTATTGGTGTACAAGTCTTGAAAGTACTCTGACTCCCTTTAAGAAAGGAACTTCCCCATTTAATAGATTAATCACAGGTAGTTTACCTGCAAAAGATGGCATGTCTGTGCACAGAGAGCATAATAATTTCTTTTGTTCCCTGAAGGATTTACTGCAATTTAATTCTTTGTGGGCACAAAAAGTATTTATTTTTCTCATATATTTGTATGTTAAGTTGCAAATGTAAGACATAAAGTAATTATTTTTTTATATTTTTATCTTTATTTTTTGCTTTTGAATGTTATATTCAAGCTGAAAAATGTGGGAGCTACATCTTTATGTGCCCTCTGCATTGCATATCCTTTTGGAGCTATTTGAAGCTATAACTTTTGTTAAAAAAAAAAAAAAAAAAAAAAAAAAAAACAAAATCTGTCATCTGTAAAAAATGTTTCGTTATGCACTACTATTTTTACCTGGGCAATTTTTTTCACAGTCCACTTCTGTTGTTTGTTTTTTTTTTTTTTTTTTGTTTGTTTGTTTTAATAGATTTTTTTTTTTTGACATAATCTTTTGCAATACCTCAAATTTTGAATATAGGAAAAAAATATTTTCTAAGTAAGTTTATTCAGAAATATATATTAATTTAATTTTTTCAAAGATGATTTAATATTGCTATTTTTTTGTTGTTTCCATGCTTTATTTGCTTTTTTATGTTAAGATAATTTGAAAAAAAAAAATTAGAGCTTTGTAAGTTTATATGACAATTTAATGAGACAAAAATCTACCTAATTGTGAGAATAAAGCCTTGAGATCATTAGTCAAGGAAAAAAATAGCAGAGACCCACAAAATTATATATAATAACCATGTTATAGTTGGTGCTCTAAGCAAGGACTGGTAAATTAAAAAAAATTATTTGTATGTTAATAATCAAGTGTTGATTATGCATGACTGACCAGAATTGTGAAAGAATTCTTCTATTTGTCTTTTTTAGAAAACTTATTTTTTAGTTTGTTAAATTATGGTGGTCTTTACTTTTTGTTTTTCCCAATTTGTAAACCTGTGAGCCCCAAATTCTGTTAATTCATGTTAACCTATTTGCTGTAAGAGGAATCCGCAGTTTTTTCTTTGCCTGACCCTCTTACAACTAAGTGGTTTAGCAGGGTCCTTTTCGCAAATAATATTTTTTAAAATGCATTTTCAATTGCAACTTAACTAAAAATGTTGGATGTATCAGTTCAGTTGGTTGCCTTTCCTTGGTGTTAGACTTGAATTAGTCAATATTTTGAAGGCAGACTTAATCTTGATTATTTGTTGTTACGTGCAATACTGTTTGTACTGTTTATATAAAAAAAGAAAAAAAGAAAAAAAATGCATAAATCTTATTGCAGATTTATTTTCATTGCAAACATTGTGGGTTCCGTAAGATCATTTTTCTACTGTCAGATATGTACCTTTTTCTTCATGCTGGTATTTTTTCAATAGTAATGTAGCCTTTGTACTGAGACAAGATTTTCATTGTTATTTTTAGAAAGATTTTTTGCTAAGAAAAAAAAATGAAAACATATTTACATATTTTTCATTTTTATTTTATATTCTCCCTAGAGTGCTTTCTCAACCATAAATAACTGTTGTTCCTCGGAGGTACTTTCAGATCTGGTCAATGTCATTAATATTATTTTGTATTTTTACTTGGAATAAATTAATTTTATTATGCTAATTGTTTAAAAAGTTTATTTTTTTCATTTCAGTTATTTTTGACGCTAAAGAAACCTTTGTAATATTGTTACTAAAGTGTCTAATTTTTTGAAAAGCAAAGCTTTATGTATTAACATGCTGATGTGGTTTACAATGGTGTGGCAGTGATGAAAATGGTTGGTTATGTAAAGTGATTTAAATAATGTAATGAACAATTGGGCAATAAAAAAATGAGTGAAGCAGAAACACATTGTACTGTTTAGCAGCATTTAATTTCCCTTCTATATCTTGGAGTAATATGGTGGGCGTGTTGTATTTTTTTTTTTCTTTTTTTAAGATTTCCCCACATTTGCCCTAAAGTTTCAGGATGCTGTGATGACATGCAATGAACTTCTTGAGACAAACTCGAAAGGAGACTAATAAATAAATAAAAATATATATATATATATATATATATATATATATATATATATATATATATATATATATATATATATAATTTTTCATGATAGTTTTTGGTTAAGTTTTATTCTTACCTATGATTATTATTATTTTTTTTTTTCTTTGTAGAGCTGGGTAAAGTTAGAACCAATGTCCGATTTTAACTGATAGACAAAAAGTGTTGCAAGGCAGGGGTGGCTCACTTACATAAGACGTTATGGCGTAAGGCATTACAATGGAAAACAAAATGGTGCAAAAGATGAGCACCCCAATCTAGAGGGACGTCTTCTACAGGCCAGGATGGACGAATGGTTCTTATTCAAAGGTTCTTTATATGATTGTTAGCACATCCAATGCCTTTTGGGGTTTTATTATCCACTTGCCTTCCAGGAGATTTACCACTCCTTCATGACCGGGTCAGTTTTTGCTATAAGGTGCTGTGTTACTTTAACTGACAATTGTACGGTAATGCAACTCTGTACATAAAGCAAATTTGTCATCCCCCCCTCCACACATACACACACACTTACACACACGTAGCTTTGTTTTGGTGGTATTTGATCACACCTTGGTTTTTTGTTTTTTTTTTTTTTTGTGCTATAAATAAAGACTAACAATTTTGAAAAAAAATACAATATTTACTTTTTGGTATAAAACATATCCAATAAAAAAAATCTAATTTCTTTATAAATTTAGGCCAATGTGTACATTTTTTTGGTAAAAAAAAAAAAAATACCAATAATCATATATTGGTTTTCACAAAAACTATACAAACTATGGTGTATTTGTACTGAAATGATTATTTTTTTTTTAATACTAGTAATGGCGGCGATCAGCGACCTCTAGTAGGATTGCAATATTGCAGCTGAAAGTGTGACATTGACACTTTGTGGGAACCAGTGACACCAATACAGTGATCAGTGCTAAAAATATACACAGTCACTGTATTAATGACACTGGCTGAGAAGGGGTTAAACATCTAGGGCAATCAAAAGGTTAACTGTGTGCTTAACAAGTGTTTTGTGTACACAGTGTGGTGATTTTACTAGGAAAGAAGCAGAAGAAAATCTAGCAGATCGCCGTTGACAGTACACCTTGTTTACATAGGCAGAGTTGTGTCCTGTCACTCTCCTCGATCAACGGGTGCCGGCTCTCATCCATTGGCTGGCACCTGTTGATCAGCTTCTGCTGTCACTAGTCACAACAGAAGCGGCACACCCCCTACACCAGGAAGTGCAAAACCATGG